AATGAAAGAAACACTATCTTTTAGAAAATCCCTATAATAACTGTTTTAGGCAAGATTTACCAATGGATGCTGAGATTACTAGGTAAAAGTGTGAAAAAGAAACATGATATTTTGTTTTCAAGTATCTCTCCTAAGATATTTATTAACTACAAAAAGGAAGAGTATTAATGGTGGTGAAACCTGACAGACACCACCTTAACTAACTGATTGAGATTAACATTACCAGTAATAAGATGATGGGCCCTAATAGAATGCACTGACAAAAGATATTACCCTAAGGGCTTTCAATCACAGCCACTAGAAGAGATACATTATTTGGGGATGTGAGGGTCTTGTATCTTCCGAATTTCCCTATTTAGAAGCAGTTTTTCTCACTACTTGAAAGTCGGATGGAAACAAACATTTGAAGGAAAGGGCAGGAGTCCAGGCTCCTAGAATAAGAAAGTCATGTTTAAAGAAAGTTCAGAAATGCTGCAAAGGGAGGGATCCAGGCCCGAAAAATCTACTGTCTACACATCATGACCAAGCCGCATTACAAACCACTGCAAGTTTTTCTAGCAGATCTACCTTTTAAGACAATCCTAGCATGAAGAATTACATAGCTCCTGACTGACTTTAAGATAAAGCATTACATTGAAAGGTTTGCAAAAAGCTAAGAAAAAGAAGCACGGTACAATTGCTACTAAAACAAAAATCCTGTTTGTGAACTGGCGAGAATATCTAGTCTTTCCTGTTATTATTTGAATCCTGTCAAGAAAGAGGGAACAGAGAATTTAAGTCTGAATAAGTTGCTAGGTGCCACCTATATGGTCACACTTAGGTTTTCTTGGGACAGACCATTGCTTGAACCTTGGTATTTCTGCTCCACATCTTGGTAAATACATAAGTGAAAGGCAACCCAACTCCTTTATTAAAAGTTTTAGGAACAGGCCAAATATCTTCTTACCAATTAACAGTGATATAACAAGTCTCTGTAAGATAGTTATCATATTTCAAAGAACAAAAATTGACTAATATGCTATTTGCAGATCTGTGTAATAATTAGGCATATTCTTCAATCATTTTTAAACTCATGTTTTTAGATAAATTGAGAAGCTATGAAGAGCCACAGGCTCTGCCCAAAGGGGTAAGATTTATACACATTAATAAAAACCTTTGACATTTAATAGGATAAGACTTATTTCATGAACGTAATACAGTAATAAGCTGTACTCACTTTATGATTATTTCTTCCAAAAATAAATCTAGCCAAAAGCAGGGCCTTCTTGAATCCCAACCATAAGATGTCTACTAATGGCAAAATTATAAGATCCTATGCACCAGGAAAAAGACAATCTCTTCAAAAATGGCGCAGGAAAGACTGGATAGCTTCATGCAAAAGAATGAAAGTGGACCACTTTCTTACCCCATACACAAAAATAAACTCAAAATGGATTAAGACCTAAATATGAAACCTGAAAACATAAAAATCCTAGAAGATAGCACAGGCTGTAACTTCTGTGACATGAGCTGTAGCAACTTTTTTCTAGAAAGGTCTCTTGAGGCAAAGGAAACAAAAGCAAAAATAAACTATTGGGACTACATTAAAATAAAAAGCTTCTGCACAGAAAAGGAAATAATCAACAACACTAAAGAATGGTTGGATACTAACCTTCCCATAGAATGGGAAAAAGTATTTGTAAAAGGTTAGTATCCAAAATCTATAAAGAACTTATAAAACTCAACCCCCTAAAAATAAATAATCCAGTTAAAAAATGGGCAGAAGACAGGAACAGATATTTCTCCAAAGAAGACATCCAGATGGCCAAACAGACATGTGGAAATGTTCTCACCATCACTCATCATCAAGGAAATGCAAGTCAAAACCATAATGAGATATTACTTCATGCTTTTCAGAATGGCTAAAATAAAAAACACAATAAACAACAAGTGTTGGGGAGGATGTGCAGGAAAAAGAAACCCTTGTACACTGTTGGGAATGCAAACTGGCTCGGCCACTGTGGAAAACAGTATGGAGGCCCTCAAAAAAATAAAAATAGAATTATCATATGATCTAGTAATCCTACAACTGAGTTTACCCAAACAATATGAAAACACTAATTCAAAAAGATATATAATCCCTGTTTACTGCAGCATTATTTGCCACAGCCAAACTATAGAAGTAGCCTAAGTATCCACTGATAGATGAATGGATAAAGAAGATGTAGTGTATATATACAATAGAATATTATTCAGCCATAAAAAAGAATGAAATCTTGCCATTTACAACAACATGGATGGAACTAGAGCATATAATGTTAAGTGAAATAAGTCAGTCAGAGAAACAAATACCATATGATTTCACTCACATGCAGAATTTAAGAAACAAAACAAATGAACAAGGAGAAAAAAAGAGAGATAAACCAAGAAACAGACTCTTAATTATAGAGAACAAGCTGATGGTTACCAGAGGGCGGTGGGAGGATGATGGGTGGAATAGGTGATGGGGATTAAAAAGTACACATACGATGAGCGCTGAATAACGTATAGAACTGTTGTATCACTATATTGTACACCTGAAACTAATATAATACCATATGTTAACTATACTGGAATTAAAATTAAAAACTTAGTTGAAAAATTATAAGATCCTACCACAGGGCAAATTAACTTGTGCCATGGGTTCACCACACAGAAGTTCAAAAAGGCTCTAGTGAGTTATGCACTAAGATGTATGAAAAAACTCAATCTCTTTCTATATATAAAATTATAATATAATAAAATTAATGTGCAAATATGTATAATTATAGCCTACTACAATATACAAATATACATATATTATATACACATATGATATATACATTATTTCTCTCAAAATATACCAAGGGGAAATTTTTTATTTTTTTGTTTCCCTATGCTATGCCTTTTATTCCCATGATTTATTCATTCTGTAACTGGAAGCCTAGATTTCCCACTCACCTTCACCTAATTTTTTCATCCCCCCAGGCATTTTTAACTTTGATACGTCATAAAACTAGTAAAACTATGCTATCTAAAGAAACATATACTAGAACATCCACTAGAACATGCCAGTACACTATTTTCAATTTAAGAATTTTTAATATTTCATGACAGCAAAAGAAAATTTTAGTGAGACCATGGCATTAATGTGCTTCTAAGGGTATCTAATCTTAAAATTGAGATATATTTAAGAACCAGAGAAAGGTAGGAACACTCTGAACTCATTACTAAAACCACAGGTATATATGTGTGTCTACATATATAGAATGCATTTATCAAATCAAGTATTCGATAGCCTACTCTCACGACAGTAATATTTAAAAGCTTTTACTTGAGGTATATTATTTTAAACTTTCACACCTACCAGAAAAAGGAAACAGAATTGTGTCTTCCTTCTCTGGAGATGAGAGGACCAAGGCTCATTAGAAGTTTAATGATTTACCCGAGGTTATTAATAAGTGGCAGAGCAAAACCTATAACCTAGGCCTTGTATTACAGAATCATTATTTTTACAGAAAAGTATGCTGCTAGGTTCTGAAAGGATTTTAAGAAGAATGTGCCCCAGTTGCTACCATTTGAAGTTTAGAGACATCAGTGATATCAGGGAAATACAAATCAAAACCACAATGAGATATCACCTCACACCAGTCTGAATGGCTAAAATTAACACGTCAGGAAACGACATTATTGGTAAGGATGCAGAGAAAGGGGAACCCTCCTACACTGTTGGTGGGAATGCAAACTGGTGTAGCCACTCTGGAAAACAGCATGGAGGTTCCTCAAGAGGTTAAATATAGAACTACCCTATGACCCAGCAATTATACTCTTACATATTTATCCAAAGGATACAAAAATAGTGATTCCAAGGGGCACATGCACCCCAATATTTACAGCAGCAATGTCCACAATAGCAAACTATGGAAAGAGCCCAGATGCCCACTGACAGATGAATGGATAAACAAGATGTGGTATACATACACACACATACACACAGGAATATTATTCAATCATAAAAAAGAATGAAATCTTGCCATTTGCAATGATATGGATGGAACCAGAGGGTATTATGCTGAGTGAAATAAGTCAGTCAGAGAAAGAAAAATACCATAGGACTTCAGTCGTGTGTGGAATTTAAGAAACAAAACAGATAAACGTAGGAAAGGGAAAGAAAAATAAAATAAGATAAAAACAGGGGGCAAAACCATAAGAGACTCTTAACTGTAATAAACAAACTGAGGGGTGCCTGGGTGGCTCAGTCAGTTAAGTGTCTGCCTTTGGCTCAAGTCATGATCCCAGGGTCCTGGGATCAAGTACCAAATCGGGTTCCCTGCTCAACAGGGAGTCTGCTTCTCCCTCTGCCTCTGTCCCCCTCTCTCTGTCAAATAAATAAATAAATAAGTGAATAAATCTTTAAAAAAAAACAACAAAAACTGAGGTTTGCCAGAGGGGAGGTGGGTGGGGGCATGGGTTAACTGGGTGATGGGCATTAAGGAGGGAACTTGATGTAACGAGTACTTGGTGTTATATGCGACTGACAAATCATTGAACTCTACTACTTAAACTAATAATATATGATATGTAACTAAATTTAAATAAAGAATTTTTTTAAAAAGTTTAGAGAAATCAAACACTCATGGAGGCAATAGGTGTGTTTACTTTTTAGGATGACACAGAACAATCAGGTCCAAAAGAGAAGAGTAAGTAAGATACCATTGTATGTGTGCAACTGACCTGCATAACAAAGAACTGGTAGAGGGACTGGAGTCAAATGGCAAGGGACAGGGTGGGCGGTGTCTATAGCTCCTCCTACTCTCTATACTGGTCTTCCCAGGAGTATGTGGAAAATGCAAGATCAATCCTCATTTCCAATCTCATGCACTCTCTTACAACCTCTCATGTAATTATGAGGATGTGGGAAATGGGTTCCTGGCAATAGTAATAAATGTTTCTACTTTAATATTGGTTAGGAATTTCAATTATAATCAAGTAAATGAACTTACTTCGAGAGAGATTCTCAAGGGCTTTTCCCAGCTTCTTGCTCTCTTGAAGGATGTGGTTCAATTCATCAAAATCACGGCTTTGTGGTTTAATTCGCCAGTTCCACTTAGGATGATCTACTGACCTTGGCACTATGTTTTAAAAAAAATGATTACTTCATAAGCATGCTACATAATGATAAAAATTTACTATTCATCATTATGTGAAAGACTGTATCAAGATCAATGTACAGATTAAAAATGTGTGTTTTGGAAATAGTTTCCTTGTGAGCAAACAGAGGGAAGTTATGAAGCTGGATTTTAAGAAATGTTTTAACTGAACTCGTAAAAAGGAAGTGTGACTATTTATAGAAAAAAGAAAATTCAGGCACTGTTTACAGTTAGTGACTTCTGTAACTTAGGGAAAACATACAAGCAAAGTATATTTTATACCATCTTCTAGTAGCTTAAAAATTTCTAATTTCTTCATCAGCAATTAGTATATATTTTAAAGACATTTTGCTATCTTCTGATAAAAGAGAAGACAGAACACATCTCCCTTCATCTCCCTCACATTCCTAATAAAAGTATATTAAATTTTGTTTGGGTCAAATTATTAGTCAAACAAGAAGAGAAGACATTATTAGGCAAGAAATAGCAATTTTTTTTTGGGGGGGGGGGAGAAGCAGTATAAATTGAGGAGTGGTAACTGTATCTAGCAAAGTAGAGAATGCCGAAATCTAGTCCCTGAGGAGAGAGATGCCCAAAAAGGTGGATATTTCATAACATTTCAACACTCAAGCACCAATCGAGGACAAATGCCAAAGCAATAAGGACATAAAACTCCATTTCTCAGATTGGAAGGATCCATTAAATGTCCTAAACAATGTAAACCATATTATCCCCAAATTTTACAACAGTGGCAAAAAAGAAAAAGATCCTAAAAGCTTTCAGGGACAGAAACAGCAATCAAGTTCTTCTCAGACTTCTTAATAGCCATACTTGCCCCAGAAGACACAGATGAAATTCCTTCAAAATTCCAACTGAAAATCAGTTCTAACTTAGAATTTTATACCCAACTGAGGAACTAATCAAGTTATTTATAAGGATTCAAATATTTATCTTGCAATCATTCTTGTTCAGAAAATCTGTAGTGAAGGTGAGCCATCAAAATGAATAAATAAACCTAAAAGTGGAAAAAAGATGTGGAGACAGGAGACAGACGGTCCTCCACAAGGAGGAGGAAAAGAGAATCCTCAGGATGGCAGTGAAGGATGGTCTCAGAACACAGCTGAGAAAAATGCTGAAAACCAAGAAGCCATGATAGAGCAAGAAGACAAAGGGCTGCAGAAGAGAGGTCTCCAATTTTTTTTAATGAAATAAAATATAAAATAAAGTAAGATCAAAGTTAGAATTACTTGATGTATTTGATCATACTGAATGCCGAATATGATAAGGCAAGGTTGATAAGTGAGGGGTACACAGAAAACAAAGCAAATAGAAAAACAAGACAATTATAAGTTCTAGAAACAAATTAATAGTTGGACATCTATGGCCCTACTGTGAAATTATGGCTAATTAATACAAAATTGTTTTGTAGTATATATTCAATATTTGAAATACTTGCATGATTGTATTGTGAGGACAAAATGGGCCTGAGGTATGAAACCACAATGTCTTAGAAGGAGGTCAAGAGATGATGCCTCAAATTTAAAAAGTAAAAAAGGGAACTATTTAAGCAACTTGTATGTTTGGATATGTACATTTGTGTACCAAAAAGAACATCTAAAAGAGTTAAAAGTGGCTCTATATTAGAAGCCTATAATACTACTTTACTTTTCAAACCGTATTTTTTTGTTTTGATTAAAATAAAATAATTATATATCTATATGGGAATGCTTTGTCAAAGGCAATCTCAGACACTGAAATATTTTTTCTGCCCCCTTTTAAAAAAGTAATTGGAAATATTTACTTATAAAAAAGAAATTGGAAATAATAAAAATACACAGACCCTCTGAGCCAGTAATCTTATATCTGGTGAATTATCATAAAGAAATGAGAACACCTATATTTATGTAGGTATGTTGTTTATTTTATCAGATATTGCAAGATATTCATTTATTTCAGGTAGTAGTTTGTGGAGGCAAAACTCTATAATCAATCGAACCATTCTCCCACAGGGGAATAAATAGATTATGGCATATTCACAGCATACTACAGTATACACTTCTTAAAAAGTATAATTTATATCTAAGTTTAGCATGAAGATATATCCACAACACATTCTAAAATAATAAAAACAAATTGCTGAAGAATGTGTATAGTCTAAAGCCAGTTTTATAAGGCAAATCAACTCACACATACTTTATATGCTAGTTGTACAAAGAAAAGGATGTGAAAAGATGCAAACTATTTCAAAGGATGTGAAAATATACAAACTATTTCTGAGGAAGTAGAATTTGAGGGGGCTAAAAGAAAAGGATTAAGAATTTAAATTTTGTTAAATTTTTTAATATAAATATCCTTTCCTTCCCCTCTAAAAGATTTAATTTGCTTTATTAAATGTACTTTATTAAATGTAGGTCTAGAATTGCCTTGAATGTGATACGACGCTGCAACTGAACATGACAGGCAAGGAACCTGCTCCAGGTAGCTTATATTCTTAAAAGACTATTATACTCAAGAAGGTCTAAATCAATTAAACATGCTTGAGCATATGAGTGTGTGTATAATGCTGAAATGAGCATGACATTCATTAGGATTAACAGCCAGAAATATCACATACAAAATTTGACTTCAATTCTTACCTTTTCTTCATTTCGTTAGTAATACATACTTACATACATTAAGTAACATTTGAATGACAAAATTCCTTACATGATTTGGATTCTGGTGATGGTGGAGAAATGTTAGACACAGCAAGGTCACTTTTTGACTTTTTAGGCTTCTTTGCACTTAATTGCCAAGGCTTATCATAACTTCTGAAATCCCTTCTTGTTCCTTTATGTTCTGTTAAAACAAACAAACAAACAATATATATATATAAACTCAACGATAAATGATTTCAAGATTGATCAAAAACTAAATCTGTGAAGTCATTAGACATGCCTGGCAAAAGCTATAGTTCACCTCACATCAAAAATAATGCAAGTATTCAAAAGCATTTCTTGCTTAATTTCTCCTGTAGATTTTAGTTTTGAATTTGATGTGATTCAATTTGTATATTAATATGATTAAGATCATGTTAAACTGTGAAAGGCTTTTAGAATGACTCTTTAAGGCATGGATTACCATTACTTAAAATAACGTTCTTTAAATGGGTATTAGGGAATAAAGCACTGTATTCTAATGTAAATTAAAACAACTGAGGCTCCTGGGTGGCTTGGTCCCTCAGGGAACCCGCCCTATGTTTCAGCTCAGGTTATGATCTCATGGGTGGTGGGATGGGGCAAGTGCAGGGCTCTGTGCTTAGTGGGAAGCCTGCTTGAAGATTCTCTTCCTCTGCCCCTCCCCTGACACACACACACACACACTCTCTCTCTCTCAAAGGTAAATAGAGAAATCTTTAAAATATATATATATAAAAATAAATAAAAAACAACTAAACATTTATGTAAATTTTACTCATCTGATTTTACCTTATCTATTTTTCACTAAGACACATTAAACCACTGATTGTCACCTATATTCCTTCCCTAGAATCACTCATTTTTTTCCACTTCTCTATTAAAGAAAGGGTAATTCAACCAACTTTGTTCAATTATAGCTCCCCTTCAAAGGTGGTCAAAGTTATATTAATTCCCAAATTAAATGATCTTTCCAAGAATTCATCTCTCTCAACAACTTTGCCAAGCATTTCATATTTTTAGGCAGGCCTATCTTTGTGGAATATTTTCTTCTCTTATACTCAGGGCCCTACATCCTCCTCATCTCTATATCAACCATTTGACTCTTCCTTCTCTGTCTCATTCACTGCTTCCTCACCTTCCTCTTTCATCTATGTGACATTCCTTAAACTTTAGAGTTTCCTTCTGCCTTCTTGTATAAATTTATAAGTTGTCAAATCATCCTAGCTTTATGAATGACTCCCCAATCTTTCTCTAGCCACCCACTTGTAAATATCAAATAGAAATCATGAAACATTATATGGATTCCTCAGATTTATATTTGAAGATTGTACTAAACTAGCTGTTCCTAATTTTATGAACTTCCAACATGCCATTCAATACCAAAAGAGGTACAAATATTCTAAAACTCTAGAAACAGAAATATCGATCTGTGGTCTGCCAAAATGCAGGACATATTTCCACAGATAGGAATAAGACAAAAGACAGGCAAATAAGAAAAGGACTGGAAGAATTCTAGGCATCCCTGACACTTGCCCCTGTATCAAAGTCATCTGTTTCTGTTGTTCTATGAGAATCTGTCTTTCTATATCCATCCTAGGACTATAATATCTTCTAATGCAACATGGCTAAAGGAACAAGGAATCCTGATCATAAAACAAAGCATTTCATGATACAAACAAAATGGCTAAAAAGAACAAGGGAGGAATAGCATACTGGATTTTGTGGCTTTTTAATTTTTCCACTACAGGCTAGGAGAAAAATCCACATTAACTTAAATAATCTAGCAATGATACTGTTCGTATTTAGTTGGTAGAAAACAAGATGAGACAAAGTTACTCATGATTATTGGAGAGACCCATAGGATTCAACTGATAATGGAATTTTAGGAGCAGTAATGATTTTTTCTCTCTAAAATGTTTGGAAGGGATCCAAATTGTCCTGAGCTATAACTTGAGGGGACAAAGAAGAGTCCAACTATATTATTAATTGATAAACCTAAAACTAGATAGAATACTCCTCATTTAAATTTGAATAAATGGAAAAAATAATTCTAAAAAATTTTCAATATGAAAAGCAAGAACACAGCACTCAAGATACAAAGAAAATTCATAGTTTTAGAAAAGTTTACCCTGAAAAACCTTTATATTTTAGAATATGGCTAATTGCCTTCTTAATAAAAATAAAGAAAATGGATTCTATGGAACAAAAAGAAATGTGAGAGGAGACAGGTTAATCAACTAGCCTACAATAAAATATAACTTCAAACAGAAATGAATAAAGAAGATAAGGAAATGCTGACAGTAAACCAAAATGCAATACCAACATTTAAATTTGTTTTCAAAGTCAGAGAGAGAAAACTGATACTGCAGAAAATCGAATCAGTAACACAGAGAGCACACTTGACAAATCTCCCCAGAAGTTAGTCAACAAAGAAAGGCAAATATATTGTGAAATGAAATGGGAGGAATGAAGAACAGCAAAGCAAACTCAATTTACACATAGCTGATCTTCCTGAAGAAGAAATAGAAAGCAAATATAATGAAAACAATAACTAAGTACACAAGAGGAAAACAGTTTTAGGCTGAAGACCTGGATTTGCTAATTGAAAAGATGCACTGAATATAAGAAAAAAATCTAAAGAAAAAAGATAATTGTCGATATATATTCCCAGTAAAACTTGTCAATATCAGAAAGAAAAAACAAATTCCATAAGTATTTAAGAAAAATAACTAGATATCTAAAAAATAAAAATAAGGAAGACTTCATGTTTCTGCACAGTAATATTAAATGGCAGTCTTTTAGATGATGATGTGTCCTGAGTTGCTAGATACATTTGACGACAATAAGAGGACAACTTTAGATATTTTCAAGAGATATTATACCAAAATACTTTGACTATTGAGATAATTTCTAGCTAATCAGAACATGCACCAGAGGAAACAATTAGAAACTGTAGTCAAGCTGTAAACTGGCATTAATACTGTCACCCAAATTATAACTTCATCACTTATATTCATATCCAAGAATTACCCTGTGCTTTCCTTCTCTCTCCTGTCATACTCTTTCTTTCTAAAATTTTGCCCCTTCTCCTCCTGTGACATACGTTCCACGGCAAGCAAACACTCTTCTATTCTCAAGACCCCCCTCCTTTCATGTTTTAAGAGACTTCACTCTTTCCACAAGAGCATTCCCTCCTCTGCAGTTTCCTGGAATGGAGGGTTCATTCCCCCATGTGGTCCCAGCCACAGGCTGGGTTTTCCTGGCCCAGCAGGGTTAAGCTGGAAGTTCCTCCTCTCTGGTGGTAACTGCTGCCTGTCTACACTACTCACTGCTCCTCAGTGTGGCCACTGCTCTACTCCTAATTACTCCACGGCTGAATTCAAAACATTGGCACGGTCTCCCTTGACTTTTCAACAACTTGAATGCAACCCTGGTTTCATCTTCTTCTTTTTTTTTTTTTTTAAGATTTTATTTATTTACTTGACAGAGACACAGCAAGAGAGGGAAAACAAGCAGGGGGAGTGGGAGAGGGAGAAGCAGGCTTCCTGCTGAGCAGAGAGCTCCAGGAGGGCCTGGATCCTAGGACACTGGGACCATGAACTGAGCTGAAAGCAGCCACCCAAGCACCCCTGGTTTCATCTTCTTAATCCTCAGACTAATCATGCATTAAGTTTCATACTTCGTTGTCCTCCCTAACTCTGAAAGGCTTCACTTCCCTGATTATTAAGATACCCCACAACTAAGGCTACCAACAGGACCATCTCATCACCTGGACTCACCCCACCTCAGAAATCTTTATCTCAAATATCACGATCTCCTGTCCTTCTAATCGCTCTCAGGTTTTCACTGTACCTACACCTGCACCACCAGCCTTCTATAGGTCTTTATCTTCAGCTCTCTGATTTGCTTTTTTGTCTAATTCTTTTCCTATCCTTGCTCACTACCCTCTCATACCAGACCATGCGCTTTGATCACTTGAATAAACGGCTCACAAATGTCCTCACTGCTCTGCAAAACTGTTCTTCCGACCTCCACTCTAGCCATGCCACAACCACAATTCTCACTCAGTCCCTCAAACTGTTGGCTCTGCTCCCTTCCCACTGGTTCTGGGCACTGCTGGAGAAAATCACAACTGTGCTGATGGTTGCTAAGAGTCACTCGTGTCTTTGACTTCTGAGAGGTCCCAGAACTGCCTCCGTCATTTTTTTTTTTCCTTTTGCCAGCTATTTTCTCCTTTTCCTTGGTGACTTTTCACAATTTAAATCCCAACCCTCTTGTCCTCAGCAAACAACCTCACTTCTTAATAAAAAAGACAAAATTTCAGGCATCAGATAAAATTTCACCCTTGCCTTCCCCTAGTTCATCTCCCACTCCCCTGGCAAATTTGACCACAACTTCTTCCATTCTCTCACTCTTGTAACTTTAATGATTATGAGGTGTGATACTGAATGCCACACTGTGACTCCTGCCTTGATCCATCCCAGAGTTTTAGACTCATATCTAACTTCCTGCTGGAATTATCTACTATGATGCCTCACAAAAACTCAAAGTCATCAATAGGAAGTGGACTTGTTATTGTTCTTCACAAATTTACTCCTCTGTTCCCACCTTGCTTTGTTAAATGAGCATTTATGCCATTAACCAAGTCAGTGAATTGGGAGTCATAATAATCTCCTCCCCTCCTTCTCCCTCTCCAAGCAGTAAGTCATCAGTACTTGTGGTACTCAGAATTCTAAGATGATCCCCATGATCTCTGCCCCTGACATTATGTCTTATATAATTCCCTCGCCTTAAGTGTAGTAGATTGGACCTTGACTTGCTTCAAACCAACAGTATATAGTAAAGATGATGGGATGTCAATGCTATGATTATGTTATGTTATATATATTAAGTAGACTGAATGACAGCAATTCCCTTGCTGATTTTAAAGAAGCAAGCTGCCATGATGTGAAAGAGTCATGTGGCAAGGAACTACAGATTGCTTCTTGGAGTTGACAGCAACCCCAGCCTAAAATTCAGCACAAAAACAGGAACCTTAGTCATACCACTGCAAGAAAATTAATGTTGCCAACCACCTGAATGAGTTTAGAAGCAGGTTCTTTCTTATTTCAGCCTCCAAATGAAAATGCAACCCAGCCAATACCTTGATTTTCACCCTTGTGAGATCTGACAGAGGATCTTTTGTGTTAGTTACAGACTTCTGACCCATGGAAAGTATGAGATATTAAACATGGGAACTGCAGAGTTGAACATACTACTATCTCTCCAGATACTATAGTTTATAAATATGGGCTCATATGAGCTTCACTGGGCTCACAGACTCCACATGGTCTGCCTTTACATGATGGGTGCCATCTTTGCACCTACAAACCAGAGTTCATGCCTATATACCCATGCTACTTAGAATCTAAACCCAAGAAAGTGAAGCCAGGAAACTGTAAGCGTTCTCTTTTGATGCCAAAAGTTTGTATCCTAGCTTCCTGTATAATGCAGGTATCTTCTGTATGGATAACTGCCAGCAGAAAGCTCTACATTCTTTCAGAGGATACCCTATTCCCTACCCACTTTACTGTGGCTTTAAGACATGGTCTCAAGAAGGTACTAATATAGAATACAGCCAAAGAAGACCAAAATCCTTTCAGGGGATCTCAAAGCATGAGGAGGATAAGAAAAGTGCAGATGTTGGGAACACATATGGAGTCCTGTCAGTCACATTCCCAGGGGAATTAGGCAAGGAGATGGCTATTGACTTAACAGGCACAGGAAATCGGTTTTAGAAGTAAGTGCCAAACCAACAAATCCATATATAGAATAAAAAAGCTGTCAGACACACAATTCATAAGTAAAGACTGACGTCGGGTCTACCCAATTATCTTAATCGGTGCTTATTGGGGAGACGAGGCTATTGCAGACTTAGTAAGGTTAGTTCCCCAATGCCCGGAGTAAACGCATCTTCCTAAAGTTAAACTTACTACATAAGATAAAAATAGGTACCACAGGAAATAGAGAACCATCATCAGTTTGGGAAAAGTGAAAGGTAACTTTTTAAAAATTTTTGTTTATCTTTCTTTCTATAGATAAGCTATGAGCATTTAATTCAAATTCTTCATGAAAAGAAAAGAAATAACCTTAGAATAATTAATTTGAATTCACACCAAATGAAATCTTTTCATGTAAATCTCAATCTTAAAACTGAACACACACAGATTTCCATATTTTGAAGCATAATACATAGCATATTATACAACAATATATTCATAATCAAGGGTATTTTATGACAAATTGGAATTTTTTCTTTTTTGAAGTGTAATTCACATACAGTGTTGTTATTAATTTCAGGTGTACAATATAATGATTCAACAATTCTATATATTACTCAGTGCTCACCAAACTAAGTATGCTTTTGATCTCTCTTGTCTATTTTACCCCAATTCCCCCACCTTTTTCCCTTCCTTCTGGTAACCATCAGTGTGTTCTCTGTATTTAAGTCTTCTTTGTCATTTTTTCTTTCTTTATTTGCTCATTAGCTTTTTCTCTTAAATTTCACACATGAATGAAACCTTAGCATATGAGTGAAGCTGCAAATGAATACATGAAACCCTTGATAACCATCCACATTTATTTTATTATAATCAGAAAGACTTTTGTACATTTTTACATTAAATATATAAAAATCAACTATAAAATATTTTTCACTTACCTGATGTTTCACTTTCTGCCCAGAGAGCTGCAGATCCAGATAAAGTTCTTTGAAGTTGTCCATGGTTTCCTTGTTTAGACTGAAGATGGTCAATGAGAAATGGGATTGGCTGGTCAGGCGTTTCAGTTATTAATTTGGTCATTAATTCCTAAAGGCAGAATAGAGCATACATTCACTTTTAATAATAATGATAGTGAACAATTACATAGCATTTACTAATGCCAGGCACTGCTCTAATTGCTTGACATACAGCAAATAATTAAATCTTAGTAACAATCTTTTAAGGCAAGTATAAGTTACTGTCCTCCTTGTGAGGAAAGTGAAGTGCAGAAACATAAACTATGTTATACAGCTAACACAGGCAAAACCAAGCTATATTTACTTATATCTATTTTTACTATTCTACTTGGCCAAAGAAATACTAGAACTAATTCTAAATTCTTTTAAAACTATAGTCCAAGAATTTTAAACTCCTGATTACTATTTTTGAGAAATGCCATTACAAACTAAAGTTTTGGTAAACTTCACCATATACCTTACATATCAATGTCATTTTTTTCTTCTTAACCATATAAACCTATCCCAAAATGAAGAAAAGTTTATTGTCATAAAAGAAACAACTAACAAGCCACAGACTCACAGAAACCAAAAAATTAAACTAAACTTAAACTAGTCTCCAAACAATACAGGATTTACTTTTTCCAAAAGCCCTGATGGGTATTCATTCTTCTTCTTCTTTTTTTAATGAGTTAAACAATGAAGATTTCCCAACCTGCTGTAGCAGCCTGTTCCATTTTTGGACAGCTATAATGATACCTTAAATTGGGCGGAAAGCTGCCTGAGGGTAATATCTATATGTTGTTTTTTTCCAGGCAGGAACAGCAAAGAGCAAGCTCCAATTTGTGGTCAGTTAGAATCCCCAGTTTGTTCTCATATGAATAGCTGCCAAGACAGGTGGTTATCACTCTGTGCTGTGTAACTAAGTTTGTGAAATTTTACGTACCATTGTACATTCATATCAATCACATTTCACCTTGCTAGCTTTAGCCCAGAATTTTAGTCTGTCAATTATCATTTTAAGTTTAGATTCTGTGAGAGGCAATGGTCTTGAGAGGGCCAGAAAAATCAGATTATCAGGAGTGCTAACAGAAGGAATATTGGAAATTCCCCCATCCCATTGTCTTTATTCGTTGGTGGTGTATTTCTTCTGCCTTGAATGCTCCTCTCTCAGATGTTCAGATTGCCGGCTTGTCATCATTTGTCTCTAATGATACCTTCCTAAGAGAGGTTTACCCTAACGAATCTTTGTCTTTATCACTTCATTTTCTTATTTTCTTCATAACATCATAACATTTCTTCAGAGTACCATACTCTTAGAATCATCTCATTAAATATCCGCTCATCTTTTTGTATGTGCCTCTGCTCGTCCTCTACTACAGCACTAAGAACATAGGCTGACCTGGTTTGATCTCAACTCTCACCCAAGGGCCTGGAAATCTTTATAGCTCATAGATAGTAATGAAATTCATTTATTCATTCTTGGTTTACAGATCCCAGGTAAATATTACTAATTAAAATCCCTTAATCTCCTAATAAACAATTAAACCATTCATAGATTTCTTAGCCCAGCAAAAAACACTCTTCAAAATTCCTATATAAGAAACTGCTGTCAGGATGCCTGGGTGGCTCAGTAGGTTAAAGCCTCTGCCTTCGGCTCAGGTCACAATCCCAGGGTTCCGGGATCAAGCCCCGCATCAGGTTCCCTGCTCAATGGGGAGCCTGCTTCCTCCTCTCTCTCTGCCTCTCTGCCTGCTTGTGATCTCTGTCTGTCAAATAAATAAATAAAATCTTAAAAAAAAATGCTGTCGTACCTCAGATATATTTGCTGACATTTTTTTTTAATTTTTAATTTTTTATTTTTTATAAACATATATTTTTATCCCCAGGGGTACAGGTCTGTGAATCACCAGGTTTACACACTTCACAGCACTCACTATAGCACATACCCTCCCCAATGTCCATAACCCCACCCCCCAACCCCCTCCCCCCAGCAACCCTCAGTTTGTTTTGTGAGATTACGTCACTTATGGTTTGTCTCCCTCCCAATCCCATCTTGTTTCATTAAATATTCTCCTACCCCCTTAACCCCCCATGTTGCATCTCCACTCCCTCATATTAGGGAGATCATATGGTAGTTGTCTTTCTCTGATTGACTTATTTCACTAAGCATGATATTTCTAACAGTCTAGAAATACATGGATTTATCTAAGTAGAGGCTAAATGGACTTATAGATGACAAGATTCCAAGGTGATCTTAGAGACATGGATAAAATAATTCAAGGTATCTCAAATGTGCAGACTGAACACCGAGTTGGAAATGAAAAGAGCAAAGGATTTCTACCCCAAAAACACTGTGTGGCAAAGTATTTATTGGACGAATGTGCTTGTTTTTAATATTCTGAAAAAGAGGTAAGCAAACAACCAGTTGGCACAGGTCTTTTTGATTTCTGTTTTTTAAGATTTCAACTATTAGTTATAACTAAAAAATGTCATTCCTCTGCTATGGTTAAAGCAATGAAGGGTTTAATTAAACCCCAATTATACATCAATGGAATGCAATTTAAACATTTTGGATTTGCTTCTGTAGAAAAGATGTATTATATTCTATTTAAATTCATTGTACACTATCAAAAAGAAAAGAAAAGAAAAAGACATAGAAGAACCAACTAGATTACTCTTGTCACAAAAGGCCTGGGCACTCAGATAAAGCAAAATCAGTTCAGATAACAAGGGCTTAAAGCCATAGCAATTTCCATTCTGAAACTTCCAAAGATCTCGTGCACTTCTTTTTACCTGTCAAATTAAATGGAAAGCTTCTGTGGGTATTTTCTTTCTTTTAAAATAAACTGAAGTGTCCCTATATTGTCTTTAGTCATACATTCATAATAAACCAAGTAATCACTGGTAAATTTTAAACATATTAGTCTAGTTACTAATTTTGGATATCCTTACATTCCATTAATGAATATATATTCACGACAGAGGACAAATTCAATCATAAATAAAATGAAAATAGTTAACGTTTGCTATAGGGTATGTTGGGTACCTTGACTGGACAACAATCTAGCTTCAGATTATTGTCTTTATAAGAGGAATTACCCTGACTCCCACTAGCATTAGGAAGTGAATATCCACTAGCATTAGGAAGTGAATAATTTTGAGGACTTGAACTGAACAGAAACCTCTTTCTCAGACGGGAAAATTTAAATCCTAGACTTGCAAAGATGCTCCTGGCAATAAAAAGGATGATTTCCACCACCATGATCCCGCCCCACAGATTTATATACACAGAGACACACTGAAGGACAGATAGATTGGGGAAATGAGAAAGAATCGTGTTGCTAGAATGTCGGCTGGCGACAGAAACCCCATGCAGAAAAGTTTCACAGGGATCCTTCACATAAGGCAAAAAGTACTCCAGAAAGGAAACCGGGGTCAGGTAAGGGGGCTGAACTTCCGGGGAGCGAGGAAGCTTATCTACAGTCCTTGCCATCAGAGCAAGAGCTGTGAGTGAAATTCCCTGGGTGCTAGAACTTGACCAAGATGGAGACACTGCGCTTGGCCGTCCACACTACACCGGCCACCTGTGGGCTGTGCTGGGCGTCTGCTGGGAGAGACCGCGGCGACAGCCGACCGCTGTGGGATTCAGAGCACGCTCGCGCCTTCCCACTCTGCCGCGACGGCGGCCCCGCGCAGGCGCAAACCGAGGCGCACGCGCTAGCGGGAGATCCCAGACCGACTGGCGTCTTGGGGGTACCCACCCGCCTGCCTGGGAGCCCTAACAGCGCCCAGGCGCCTAGAGAGTAGAGTCCTTGGGCAACGCCTTTACTGACCCGGGTTGCAGTTACCTCCGCAATTGTCCTGAAGGAGAGCCGCCGATGCTGCTCGTTGGACTCCGCGGAAACCTGTCCCTGGATGTAGACATCCCCTGAGTCCCGGAGCCAGCACACACCCTGAAGACACACCCTAATCCTGTGGCCCCGGAACTAGATGAAGTGTATCAGGGTTTCCCTGTGCCTCTGGAGTCCTGCGCTTTGCCATACACACACTCCTGCTCCTCCCAACTTACCACGCAAGACTCCAGCCTCAGACCCAAAGGGGATGCTGGAACCACCGTGTGGAGTTGTTCCCCAGCTCTGAGGACCAGGCACTGGACCCCGCCTTCCAGCTCAATGACAAAAGCCCTCCCCAAAACTCAGGCCAGCAGCTCAGTGGCTGCCCTGTGCTAGGGCAAGATTTGGAGAGGACGCACCTGGGCCTCTTCTACTAATGGCCTTAACTGCCCCCTTCTCAGCCAGGAATCAGGCCCATAGTGTGGGAGCGCCCTCCTCATCTGCTGCTTCAGTGACATTCAAGTCTTCCATTAACCAAGGATCCCTGGGAGATGTTGGCTGTGGGCACATAAAAACTGAAACGATGGGAGTGATAATAGCACTCCTGCCCTGGAACAAAAAACACTGGTGGAAATTTTAGGCTAAGGACTCAGGGACTGATAAAATGCAGGTAGTACTGACAAAATGGGAGAAGATACTTGCAAACGACATATCAAAATCTATACAGTAAACAAAATCTATAAAGAGCTTAGCAAACTTAACACCCAAAGAACAAATAATCCAATCAAGAAATGGGCAGAGGACATGAACAGACATTTCTGCAAAGAAGACATCCAGATGGCCAACAGACACATGAAAAAGTGCTCCACATCACTCAGCATCAGGGAAATACAAATCAAAACCACAATGAGATACCACCTCACACGTCATAATGGCTAAAATTAAAAAGTCAGGAAATGACAGATGCTGGCGAGGATGCAGAGAAAGGGGAACCCTCCTACACTGTTGGTGGGAATGCAAGCTGGTGCAGTCACTCTGGAAAACAGCATGGAGGTTCCTCAAAATGTTGAAAATAGAGCTACACTATGACCCAGCAATTGCACTACTGGGTATTTACCCTAAAGATACAAACGTAGTGATCTGAAGGGGCACATACACCCAAATGTTTATAGCAGCAATGTCCACAATAGCCAAACTATGGAAAGAACCTAGACATCCATCAACAGATGAATGGATAAAGAAGAGGTGGTATATA